GCACTGCAGTTCAAGAGGGATGTTGAAAAGCTAGAAGCTGTCCAGAAGAGGACAACCAAGAAGATAAAAGCTCTGGAAACCAAGCCTTAAGAGGAATGGCTTAGGGAATCAGTATGTTTAGACCGGAGAAGAGAAGACTAAGAAGTATCATGCTAGTCATCTCTAAATATCTGAAGGGATGTCATATAGCAGATGGAGAGAGCTTGTTTTCTGGTGCTACTCCAGACACTAGACTGTGAACCAATTCAAATTACAAGTAATGAGATTCCACCTAAACATTCAGAAGACCTTCTTGACTGCAAAAGCTGTCCAAGAGTAGAATAGCCTGCCTCTGAGAATTGTGGATTCCCTTTTTGCAAGCCTTTAGGTTGCATCTATGCTGCAGAATTAATGCAGTTTAACTGCCATGGCTCAATGCTATGGGATTCTGGGATTTGTAATTTTGTGAGATATTTAACCTTCTCTGTCTGAGAACTCTGGTGCCACAACAAAGTACAAATCCATAGGATGGAACCATTACAGATGAAGTGGTGTCAAACTGCATTGATTCAGCAGTATGGCAGCAGCCTTAAATAGAGGTTTGCTGAGCATCTCTCAGGGTTGCTTTATTTGTATATTTCTGTATGATTTTATGATTTATTTTATGTTCTATTTACATTGGGTGCTGGTGGTTCCCACACCAGTAAAGCAGTGCATCTACTGTGAATTTTTGTCTAAACTTGAAAATAGGTATCCAAGGTATTGAATTTATTCTGGGAATAAGGAATTATGTGGAATCATGCAGCACTCCAGATGTTATTGGACTGCAATGCCCAGCTTTTCCCACCATCAACTATGTTGGCTAAGACTGCTGGGAATTGCAGTCCAACAACATCTGGCAAGCCACTTGATTCCTTGATTTAGACTCAGTTCCAGAGTGGATTCACTCTTTGACTGACAGAAGCCACCAGCAACCGCTGTATTTAAAAGGTATTTGGTTGGTTTTTTAAAAAACATTTTTGGAGGTTTCCAAGACAGTGGATAACCAAAGGACTCAACCTCCCACAACAAAATAAAATGAAGCTAATTAAAAGGTTACGTTATAATGAGGAGGAAAACTAAAAATGGCATAGCAGCAAGATAATTATAAAGCAGAAGACTGCAGTAAGAACAGTCTCAGTGAAAACAAGACAAGACAAGCAAGCAAGCAAGCAGGGGAAAGTACTTAAGGCATTAGCTGGCATTCAGTGTTGCAGTTACGGATTTGTAACCTAGGCGACATCTGCATTGCAGAGATAATGCAGTTTGACATCCCTTTAACTGCCATGGC